ATTAATACATAGAAATATTAACGCAGAATGTAAGTGAAATAATTTATTTTAAATAGCCTACTGAAATTCCGTTTAAGCAATGGCAATGTATGTAAAAAAAAAACAAGAGAGTAATTAAAAAAAGTAAATAGTTTTAATAAAATAAGATATAAATTATTTACATAATAGGTGTTTTTTATCTTTATGAAACTGAAACGACAAACAAATTTGCATTCCACTTGATGGTAAGTGGCTACTAGTACATTTCATAGACGCCTGCGGCCAACTCTAACAATGAATGCTTCACAGTCTGTAATTATACTGGCAGTCTAAACCGCGGCCGATATAGGTAAAAGTGTGGTATCCTGACAGAGTCCTAGGTAGAGAATGAAACCTACCATTTAGTTAAAGTTTGTAGCGGGGTAAGAGAATCCATCCATCGAGTGACGACTATTTCATAAACCTGAGAAATGTTACGGCTTCCGACAGATTGAGGTATAACTATCTTATTTACGCTAGACGCACACCGGTGACGAGCAGCAACGTCTAAGTTGCGATTTGTATTGTGATCTTCAATACGCCTGCCAACAAATCCTTATCTCTTTAATAATGTTAAGCACTCGCTACCCGCGGTGCCATAAATCATCGATGCGCTAGGGACAGACGCATGCGGTGCGTCACTTATCGACAACCGCTTATTGATACCTAGAAGGATGAAGAATAGTGTACGCTGGCGCTCGGTAGTTTATTAATAAGTGCGGGTAATTTAATAATTACTCTGCAAGGGTAATACACATTACAACATTTACACATACATATTTCATTCTTTACTTTTTCATAATATGTATATCCGTGCACGACATTGGTGCATCACTATTCCTGCCGTAAAGTCCGTAAGTGCGACAGAGAGCGCAACAGGCGGCGTCCTGTTTCCCCATTTTATTGCGCCGCGGGCAACGAGTGTTTAACATTAGTGTACAATATTATTGAATTAAGATGTATGCTCTCAAATTGTTTCTAAAATGATCGCTTTATAGCTTTATATATTTTAGTTATTGTACAGATTATTTAATCTTAAAATATAGCTTAGAATGAAAAAAAATGTGTGTGCACTTATGTACACACGTAGGAAGTTATACTTCTTTAAGGTAACAAAACAAAAAAAATCTTGAGAGAACCAATTGAAGTTGTCGCTTTTAGGTGACAGTGCGCGCGCGCGTCGTACCAACTTCGTGATGTCGTTTTAGGTGTCGGTGTGCGCACGCATCGTAAAAATTCACTTTCATCATTTTTCCCAAACGCCCCAAAACAAGTATAACTTCAAAAAGTTCTGTCGAATTTCTATGTGGTTCCTCCCAGGACGGAAGTGTTTTCCCGGTTAATAGTAGGAGCATGAAAGTTACTTATAACAAGTATTATTTTGTAATCTAGGTTGACAAAAGTTGTTCTATTCAATAGAATTTCCCACCTTTTGTATCTTCCTATATTCGATAGTGATATTATGTAGTGTTTTATAAATATTTAAATATTAAAATAAGTGTTGCTATCCGCGCAGAATAATGTCTACAAATCAAGGAATTTACTTTGGTAAAATTCCGGTAAGGTGCACGTTGCAATGCTAACGCACTTTATGATGCAACTTTATGACATTGTTTTGAATATTTTATTGTAATAATGATATTGGATGCGAATTTTAAAAAAAATGTTACAAATAGACTTCCGATTTGGTAACGAAAATATTTTTCTTTTATTTTCTTTATTATCATTTAATTTTTTACATCCTGTAATACGAGAAAAAAGCTTTTAACGCTTTAGTTAACACTTTCTTTTATCCTTACACTTGCAGGGGTAATTTCACAAAGCGAATTATTGGACTTTGCTCCTGCCTCCCTGTAGCAAATCAATAAAGCTCAGGATCAAAGATCTCAGAACTTTATATGTTGCTCTAATTCGCATTTTAGTTTCAATAATCCTTTAATAAATAAGCAAATATCAATAACCATTTTATTTCCTCGTTTAATATAAATGAACCGACTTCTACTAGCAAAATGGAGGTTATTTGAAGAGACGATTTTAACTTTGTTTACATCTTAGTTCGAATGTGTAGAATGCCGGTTACTAAAAAAAATATTGCTAGTATAAGTTATACTTTACTCATTTAATTGGAAAGCAAATAATTTCATTATAATAATTTAAATTAATACATATATGGTATCACTTTGGTACTGTATAGTAAACTTTAATAAGTAGGTATATTTTTTTATCCAATTCTAGCTTTACGCCGCGCGGTATTATCCAAGTTGTAACGTCCAGACACTCATTACCCACTCTTATTACGAGATCGCATGATGCGGAATGCTCAAACTATCACAGGGAAACTTTCTCATATTTTGGAATGATAATGATCATATGTCTTACGTTAGACTCCAACAATCTTTCTCTTTGTACTTCATTCTATTTATCCTTTTTATTCATTAAATCATTTTCTGTTACATCTGTTCGCTTGTGGAACTCCTTGCCATGTATACATTCGCTCTGCTCAACCCTTTCACTCTTCAAAAATCTTCTTAAAGTTTATTACTTGGAACTCTAATAATGCCCATATCCCCAAACTTGTATCTCTTCTACTTTTCTGAACTGTCAACATCTTGTGCTTTTATTTTGATTATTTTTTAACTTGATTCAATAATTTGTATATAGATCCCTCCTGGCCATTAGTTGTGAAAGATTGTATGCGTGATAAGGTTGCCTGAAAGAAATCGCTTCCAGAGTGATAAGACCGTCTTTGTACCTTCTCCTTTGTTTGTGTTTCAATATGTATTAATGTACAATAACGAATATATTGATTGAAAACCGCATCAAAATGGTTTTCAATTTTATAATAGCTTTCATTCCTTTAGTGATGGAGTATCCTACAACCTTTAAGCTAATGTTACTTAGTTTCTAAATAAAAGCTTATAATAATGTTATCAAAAAAACACGTATATCTCAGTTTTCAACCAAAAGCCCAAATCCCAAACTTTATCAATCCATCTTTTAAGGGATAAATAGAGTCAGATTTTTTAAAAGTTCTAAAATATGTTTATTCACTACACAAATATAAAATCGCGCGTAAATTAAATATATTACAAACATGTTCCTAAATGGATGTCTACGTGATAATAAGAAGCTGTTGTCCTAATTTCACGTTTGAAAATGACACGTCCCGCTGCGCCGTCTGTTGTGGACAGTATTTCATAGAATATTGCACCGTTGTTTTAAAAGTTTTATTTCAATATTTTATAGCAAGAGTATTTTCAACAGTTTTTAAATTAAAAGATACAATAATAATTTTTATCCTTACAAAGGAGATGAACTTGGTTCCATACAAGCTTGGGCCCGGCGGTAACGAGGTTCAAATATATCTTATTTTGAAGATTTAAACAATTGTTACTTATGACAAAAATCATATTTTTGTAGGACTTGGGGTTTTGTTTATATTTTGTTTTATTTGTAGGTTATGTAGTAAAATCACTCGTTCTTGGGATAAGTTGTTTCAATAAAATGAAAAGAACCCAAAAGGATGCAGCTTTTTAGTTGTAGTATTAAATAGAATACAACTCAAACTTTGCTTAATTATTTTCTGCAATTATTAATAAAATGTCATCTAGAAAAGCAGCCAGAGGCTGTACATTCCTGTTCTATTCCTCTCAAAACCCAAGTAACACATTATTGTCATTATGTGGGAGCAACTACTTACTGTCCTGTAAATCGAGAGAAAAGCCAAGGGTCAAGTTAAATTAATTCACGAAAATAAAAATATGAAATATATCCACAAACACAACCACAATGCCAAATGCGCATGGCAAGTTTAAACTCGAAGTTATCAAGTCTCCTTCGAAACGTTGCCTATTCAATCCATTTTCTAAATAGATTTATTTTATTCAGTATTGATCTCTACATATTTGCCTCAATCTTTCAATATTATGAGTTTTTATGATACTGAAGGCTATTACAAAAAATAGCCTTCATTATCTAATGCCATAGACAAAATACATAGAAATAATAAAAACGTTTTATATTTGCTATGGTAAAAGCATTAGCTTTCGTTTTTCAGTTTTACAAAATGTTTTTATGATTGTCCCATACACTACAGAAATAAAAACCATTTAATTATGCTTATAATTTATCGTTATATTACCCACATATTTTGTAAGTTTCGATTTGATTGCTCCGTAAAATAAATAGCTTCATACGAACTGAAACACTCTTAGGGGTTAAATAAATAGTTTTACAAAATTATTTTTAATGGATGCCTATGACCTACGTAATTAAAGGATTTTTTGTCTAAATTTCACGCTTACGTCCAGTGTTTTGGGTTGTTCGTCTCAATAAAATATTTTTCATATAAACATTTCAACGAGAGTGTCGTTGTAATATCTTGAAGATAGATTTACAAGAAAATAAAACCGCTGGGTTACTTACTGGTGCATTTTTCCCTTGTCACTCTTATTTAAAAAAAAATAGAGGACTACATCTCCGCCCGCAATGCAATTAACGCCAGAACTTGAATAATAAAACGAAGCTTTTAAAACGAATCACGAACATAACAGAGTATATAGATCCGATAAAGCAAACGTCTCAAAAATATTTGGAAAAGCGTAGTAAGTAGTATTGTTTGGTTATCAGTAACCACATATTTCGATCTGGATATTTAACATCCGATAAACATACAAGATTCGGATCCGATAAACATACTATTGTCATCTATCGGATGTAATTCTGATTTATTAAGATACTATTTACGACACCCACGGGAGAAGATAGGTGGATGGATGAGGTACTTCACCACCAAAGTTTTCATCATTAATATAAATTTTGAAAAAAAAAATCAAAATCTTTTATGATACAAATTAGATAATATTATTTTAATTTGTCTTGATATATTTTATATACTTAAAATAGTTTTTAATTTACTTTTGTGTTTATTTATATTATGAGAGCATCTCATATTGATTATTCTTCACAGGTCAAGTGACTAAATGCATGGAGTGGGAATTCACAACGGGAGCACAATGAGTGCTCTAAATCGTGTATATTCGCCGATAACACTGAGCCAAGAATGGCCGAAAATCAGCCGTCTGCTGTTCATGGTCTTTTGCTCGTGCTTAGGCACTACGATGAACGGTTTCTTTGTAGCCGCTTTCTTTGTTGAACATACTCTGAAGAAAGTTGGTAAGTATAACATTGTACGTTCACAACCATGCAATCTTACAGTTTAGCTTAGCCCTTTCCTCCAGACCTTCGAACCTTTAGAATAATTTTTACATATATTGAATAAAAAATATTCTATTCTATTCTAATGTTTTATCAAATCTCTTACTAGTTGAAAGTCAAACTTCACTGTGCATACCGGTACGAAAACGAAACTCTAAAACTGTTTTCCACGTTAAATACGATGTAATAATGTTTAAAAATTTTCTGTGTTGTCGGTTTATAATATTTACAATATGGATGCTAATATGTATATACCTAGTCAGGTCATAAGTATTGTCACACAGTAAAAACTTTTCTTTTAGAATGCTGGCCACAAAAAAGTTTATTGAATTCGAATTTCGAATTGTTCATGAAAATAAAACTGTATACTTTTAGAATGTTACTCATTTTTAAATATGGAGTCGACGCTTAAAGAAGACCGTGTTGCAGTTATTGCGTTGCATCGTTGCGGTTACGCGCCAATTCAAATTTTTGACATACTGAAAAATTTGAATATAACCAAAAGATTCGTTTATCGTACCATCAAACGATACAATGAAAACTCTAGTGTAGATGACAGGTCAAGAGGTGGTCGCCCTCGGTCTGTTAGGACTCCAGCAGTGATAAAAGCTGTGAAGACGCGAATTCAAAGAAATCCCAAACGTAAGCAGAAACTGTTGGCCCTTCAGATGGAGTTAAGAAGAACCACGGTGAAAAGGGTGTTAAATGAAGACTTAGGGCTTCGGGCATATCGAAGAAAAACAGGAAATCGTTTGAATGCTCGTCTAATGGACCTGAGACTGAAGAGATGCCGCTCTATGTTGAAGCGGTACGCGGGAAAAAATATCGGGAAATTCTTTTTTCGGATGAAAAAATTTTTACCGTAGAAGAGAGCTACAACAAACAAAATGATAAGGTGTACGCACACAGTAGTGAAAAAGCGAGAAACCGTATTCCGCGTGTCCAACGAGGTCATTTTCCATCCTCGCTCATGGTATGGTTGGGAGTTTCTTATTGGGGCTTAACAGAGGTACATTTTTGTGAGAAAGGTGTAAAAACGAATGCAGTTGTGTATCAAAATACAGTCCTGACGAACCTTGTGGAACCTGTTTCTCATACCATGTTCAATAACAGGCACTGGGTATTCCAACAAGATTCGGCGCCAGCTCATAGAGCGAAGAGCACACAAGACTGGCTGGCGGCGCGTGAAATCGACTTCATCCGGTACGAAGACTGGCCCTCCTCCAGTACAGATTTGAATCCGTTAGATTACAAGATATGGCAACACTTGGAGGAAAAGGCGTGCTCAAAGCCTCATCCCAATTTGGAGTCACTCAAGACATCCTTGATTAAGGCAGCCGCCGATATTGACATGGACCTCGTTCGTGCTGCGATAGACGACTGGCCGCGCAGATTGAAGGCCTGTATTCAAAATCACGGAGGTCATTTTGAATAAACTTTAGTGTCATAAGAATCTATGTTTTGTTAAGTTCATTTTGGTATATAAATGGTTACATAATGAATAAACTTGTTTCAATTATTTTATATTAAACATGTGACAGAATTTATGACCTGACTAGGTAGCTAGAATTGTAACTTTGTTTAAAACTAGTTTTCGAGTTTTAATGAAATGTCATGCTGCAACTATACGCTAAAGTTAATTACTATAACAATTTTCTGAAAATACTGTGAATTTTAATATGCATGTAGAGGTTTTAAAAAAGTTGTAGTATTACTGAAAAACAGGGGCACTAGGAATACGAGCAATCACGAGTAACAAATAAAAGCAATTAGTATTTACGCATGACGTGGGAGAGCATGTTGAAATTGCGTTTGAGTTCAGTTTTATTTATTTATTTCGGATTTTCCTATTGGAAATATATATTATTATTTATATTATTTCATAATATTTACTCTCTCTCTATTATGTCAAGGAAAGATTAACATAACTATAATATGCGAATATTGAGGTTGTGAACACAACAAAGATCTCTAAATAAATAAAGAAAAATAAAAATTTCGACTTCTTGCGTGTCTTACCAGGCCGTACCTCCATATAGGTGGGGGCCGCTCTACATCTCGCTCGTGATTGAAGTTAGATTTACCTGTCCGGATAAAAAGAACACACTTCAACATATTTGAGCGTGGTATTCCCAACAAATAGTGTCATGGACGTTACATATAACCTTTGCTTTGAGCATGTTCATCAAGAAATGCCGATCCGTCGGAAAAGGTCTTTCAGTGATTCTGCCATAATCTCAATCTCACAATTGATGTTGATACCATCATCGTTTTCATTCTAGTAACGTCTTCCAAAAACAACGACGTAGAGTTTCGGGAATATAACGTCACCCCTATATTAAACCTTTATTGTAGTGTACCTTACCGTGTAGTGGCGAGGAAGAATACCCACTACCCCATCTTCCCGTGGGTGTCGTAAGAGGCGACAGAGGGAAACTGAGGCAGAAGATGGGCAGCAGCATCTTTCTGATAACAGCAAAACAAGAATTAATAAACTGCGGTTGTCAACCTGCTCGCCAGGCGTGGCAACTATGGTATACCCCCCACGATGAAAGTTACGAAGAGACGGTCCCCAGTCCCCAGCGACCCCGCTATTCCTGGCTACGGTAGCGACTATGGCAACGGCGGGGCAGGGGGTGCTGAGAATCTCCGGTGAAGGTTCAGTTGCCACCTAAGACTACTCGACCTGGCAACATATAACGCACGCACCCTGAGGACTGACTAGAAGTTCCTGGAGCTGGAAGAAGAGATGCATAAGCTGCATTGGAATATTATAGGATTATCCGAGGTCCGAAGAGAGGGGGGACATGGTAATCCTCGAATACGGCAACTTGTTCTATCATCGGGAGGGCGACTATCTGTCCGAAGGAGGTGTCGGATTTACCGTACACAAGTCTCTCGTTAACAACGTTACAAAGATTTCGAGTATGTCGACGAGGGTTGCATACCTTATACTCAGAATCACAAAACAGTATTCGCTGAAGGTCACACAGGTTTACGCACCCATCTCGGCACATCCCGATGATGAGGTAGAGGAAATGTATGAGGATATCTGTAGATAGAGCCATGCATTCCTCCAAAACTCTCTACACGGTGTTAATGAGAGACTTCAATTCAAAACTAGGAACAAGAGAGAACGGTGAGCTGAAGGTAGGGAAATTTGGAATAGGGCAACGGAGCCCAAGGGGCCAGCAGCTGGCCGACTTCATGGAGAAAGAGGGACACTTTATGATGAACTCTTTCTTCCAGACGTGGCCCCACAGAAAGTGGACCTGGTCGAGCCCCGACGGTTCGACAAAACATGAGGTTTACTTCATTATAACGACCAGACGATAACTGTTCAGTGATGTCTCAGTTATTGCGAGGGTGAAAACTGGTAGCGATCACCGAATGGTTAGAGGCACACTGAACCTAAACGTTAAGTTGGAGATGTTTTTTTACATGGTAGAACCATGCTGCAGCTATATTAATAGTATAGTTTTAACACGAACGGGTCGGCTCGACCGGGGAAGGACCATTCTCTCACAGAATGCCAGCGTAAAATAGCAGCTTAATGCTGCTCTGTTTCGTATGGTGAGTGTAGAGAATCGGAGACCTATTTTACTGGAAAAGAGGCATTCTATCTTAGTCCGCACGGCTGACAACGCATCTGCCTTTTAATTCGCAGACGAGGATAGATGTAGATTTCTATGGGCCACAGCAACCACTTACCATCGGGTGAACTGCGTGCTCGTATGTCACCCCAATTCTATAAAAAAATGTCTCGTCTAATAAAGTCAACACTCCGTCCCCCTCGTGCTCTAATCCAGAGTCCCGAAACCTTTCAGCTCGAGCTACAAAACCATTTTAAGTGCCTAGAAGATAGCAATGCAGTGGACGATATGAATGACAACTGTACCGGCACCCTCTTGTGGTTGAAAGCGAAAGAATGTGGAAATAAAATCAGTTCCAATAGTGACCCGAAACAAGTCAACCTAGTTCATCATGATCATGTTGAGAAGAGACGTCGGTCGAGACTCGTCTTTAACCAGCGTGGGACAGCCTAAATAAACACGAGTACAACTCTGCGTATTGTGGAGCCAACCATACAGCTTCTATATTTCCCGTTTGGACAAAAGTACGACGGGAGAAGACGTCTTGCGTTGCGCGGAGGAACGATGCCGATGTCACATTGAGGATCCGATCCCTTTACACTTGCAGCGTCTGGAGTATAATAGGTCAACGAACTTCAAATCCTACGTACTCTAGGTTCCTGCAAAACATAAAGAGACTTTCCTCGCTCCTGATTTCTGGCCCTCTGGGGTAGTATTCCGCCGATACAGGGACGCGCCAAAGAAGAAAGTTACCTAAATAGTGTTATGTCTATGTTTTATATATATACTTGGCGTCGCTGAATGGACTAGCCTAGTCTAGTCTTATCAAGTTCATATACTTAGGACAAAGTGGCAGATTTTACTCTTCTATCTTCTGTAGAATTTTTTGCGTTTGCGCTTGCAATTAGGCATACTTGCGCTCCAACATGGTAAAGCCACGTTGCAGCTATATTACTGTTGTAACATGAATAGGCCAGCTCGACCGTGGTAGAACCACCCTCTCACAGAACACCTGCGCAATATAGCAGCTTAATGCTACTATGTTTTGTATGGTGAGTGTAGAGAACCGGAGACCCTTTTTACTGGTAACGAGGCATTCTATGTTAGTCCTCAGGGGTGACAACGCATTTGCGTTTTGATTCTTAATCGAGGATAAATTAATGTAGATATCTATAGACTACAGCATCCACTTATTATCAGGTGGACTATGTGCTCTTTGTTCACCCATTTTCTATAAAAAAAAAACATGTGTATTTGTAGTTGGCCGTAGAATCTCTTAACCTTACACAAATCCGCAGGTTTCCAGGAAATGACGCTAACAGGCGTAAACTTAGACAGTTGGCGCTTTAAAAAGAAGCGCCGGTAAAATGATTTCTGAAAACGCTTTTGAAGCATTAGCTGAATCGTTCTTTAATACGAGCTTTATTGACGTTGTGTTAGTTCCGCCGCAGACATTTTGAGATCTGTCTGTTGCCTGTATGTTCCCATATTTGTTTAAGACATCAGTTTTATTTCCCATGTGACAGCTTTGATACTAAGTGTATGAAATCATAGTGTTTTGGATTCTTCTACGGTGCATCTTGAAAAACTTAGTTCCAACCTCATTGACAGTCTTACCGAGCCTATAATTTACATCGTTCCCTGTTTATCTTCTAGATACTGAAAAAGATTTTTAATTCAAGCTCAAAGTTTTCGTGCTTTTGGATTAGAGCGTGGATGGAGCGTTGACTTCGCTAGACGTGACCACTTTAACTTAACGTTCAGGGTACCTCTCATCATTCAGTGATCACTACCAGTTTTAACCCTCGCGTGGCACAGATTTACTTTCTGCAAGGCTGCTAGATAGAATTTTTATGCTAAGGAGTCCAGATTTTAACGCCTTGGGTTCCGTGGCTCCATTGCAAGTTTTTATACCTCTAGCTCAACGTCAGGCTTATGACTAGATTTGCGGGTTCTATAGATGTCCTCATACATTACCTTCACTTGCTTATCGGGGTGTGCCAAGATAGGTGCGTAAATCTGTATAAACATTAAAGTTCAAAGTTCGTTTCTGAGTATAAAATTAGCACGCCAACAAAAGTAAGCCTGTAATAGCGGGGCCGGGGGTTTGGTGATCGACTTTTGGTTGATTGCTCATTGGGGGATGTTTGCCATAGTAACTACGTTTAACATCAGGATTTTGATGTTGGATTCTTGAGATCTTTTGTATACAAGTGGCAGAAAGAGGATATTTCGGATGCAATTGAGACTGTAAGTAAAAGAGCAGTTCAGTGCAGCGGTATCGAGCTACGAATAAACTCTATCCTAGACACCAATCCGTTATCAGAGTCCATAAAAATAACTAAGAAACGAAGGCAGTGAATTTGGTGATATGTATGTTAAAAAAACGCAGTACACCAATTAAAGATAGTACAACCTAAATAAATGAAGGCCTTTCTGAAATTCTAAGGTTGGCAACTCGCCTGCCAAGCGTGACAACTTTAGCAAATATTCCTAAATGAGGAAATCTATGCGTATGCTCATATATGTTCATCAGTGGACTCTGACTTAATGCTTATTCATACGATTTATTCATATGATGATTTTTAATAAAGCTGTAGTTGCACTATGACCGGATAGGATTTGGTATGTTACTTCATGTACTAAAAGAAATGTATTATTTGGCTGAGGAAGAATCGTTTTTTGTCGGAAATCGGAAATTTTATACGTGGTAAAGCCATGCTGAAGCTATATTAATAGTATAGTTGTATCACGAATGGGTTGGCTCGACCGGGAAAGGACCAGCTCTCACAGAATACCAGCGTAAAATAGCAGCTTAATGCTGCTGTGTTTCGTATGGTGAGTGTAGAGAACCGGAGACCCTTTTTACTGGAAAAGAGGCATTCTATCTTAGTCCTCACGACTGACAACGTATCTGCATTTTAATTCGCAAACTGAAGATAGAGATAGATGTAGATGTCTATGGGCCACAGCAACCACTTGCCATCAGGTGGACTGTGTGCTCGTTTGTCAACATTATTCTATAAAAAAGAAAGAATCGCAGTAGGACCATATTCGAAAACCTCAAAAGATTTGCTTTTTACAATTCATCAAATATAAATTTCAATAATATCCCTTAATTTTAATTTCTTAATTTTATTATTACTTGATTTAACAGTAATATTTTTGTAGTATATTTAGTGATATAGTGTTTAAATATTTGGTTTTGTAGCTTCCATTCCTAAATCGGTTTGTTGTATGCGAAGCAAACAAATTTCCCATTTGTTGATAGACTAGGAAGTGAGTTCTACATTCGTTATAAGCTTAAAGTGGAAGCTATTTCCGATAAGCTTCTGGCTTACGCATATTGCCTTTTGAACTTTATTCAACGCAGCATATTATAGTTCCTCTAAATTTACAAGATAGATTATCTGATTCATTCAACTACATTCAGGTATACACACCAAGGACGTGATAAGTATGCCAACATGAATTGCAGCAATATGGTGGGTTCCTTACGCTCCATTATTACTATTTTGTAGAGAATGAAATAAACGCTCTACCGAGGCGTGGTCAATTACATGCTCTTACTTGATTCCATTGAAATTTACTGTAAGATATAAACACATTAATGGAGACACTGTAGAAGTGTATAATGTATTATTAAAAAACGAGAATGAAAGTGTGTTAAAGCAGGTCTATTTATATGCAAATTAGCGATGTTGTGTAGATTTTTATATGCATATTATGTAAGTATCTGGGTTTATTCCAGATCTCATGACTTTTAAATATCCAACACCGGATTGAAAAGTTAAATGTTTGCAGAAATTAATAGTGAAAATACAGTGCGATTTATCATCTAGTGCTTTATTATTACTTACCACCAGATGGGATTGTAGTCAATAAACAATATTGAGCCAAATAGTTACTAGAAAAAATGGCATCTCTGGGTTAACATGTGACTATTAGAAAAAATATCCCACCGAATTCAAACATAAGTCTCCTATGTAAAATTCGCGACAATGAAGTCTAGTAAGTGAAAGATATGACAAGCTTATCACAATAATAATAGGCAACGAGGTATTTGTTCTCAGTCCTCATTTATGACAATAAAATGCACGTGCAATTCATCTCGAGGGTGTGGGTTTCTATAGTTTGGAGCGGCCGCTCGCGATCAGGTGTTTTGTTAATATTGTAACGAAGTGAGGTTTAAATAGATTTATTTATGCAGTCCCGTTATTGTAATAAAATACAATCGTATTTAACATATCATTTTATCTAACAGGTAACGTATTCCTCGCTTGCGTTGGGATGGCAGATCTCATTTTAACAACAGCGGTAATGCCGACTTCCGCAGTAGTTTTGTTGTCAGGTCAATGGGATAGCACACAGCTTTGCTACACGCTGCAATTTCTCACCGAAATATCTACATACTCCTACAGCTTGTTCTTTATGGTAAGTCTTATTAGCCGACTTCAAAAGAAGGAGGAGATTCTCAATTTAACTGATTTTTAAAATGTATGTGTGTAACGTGATATCTGTCTATTTTGAACCACTTTCATTATTACTTTGTTAATTAAATTGACTTTATCTCAACGGTGGTCCCGTTTGTTTAATTTAAAGAATCAATTTTATCGCTTCGTGAAATTTTAATATAATTATTAATATTTTATAGTCGGTGAGGTTATGATATTGCTAAATCCATTCAAAGATATTAACTAAAGAAATTAAAACCGACTTTAAGACTCAGTTAAAATAATTAAAGATAGAAAAAACAAAAATAAAATAATTCAAAGAACAAAATAATTGCCACACAATTTAATTTTTTCTGGTGTTGGTGTTAAGTAATATGGTATATTTTTGAATTAAAGATCCGAATAAATTACGTATTATAATTCTTTTATTTATAAGTTAAGTTTTACTTTTAATAACTTTGATAAATTATTTACATAATAGAGTCACGCTGCAGCATATTATGATAGCAGCACGAATAATTCGACTCGATCGAGGAAGGGATATGCTTGCACAGAATACCAACGTAAAATGGCAGCATAATGCAGCTGTGATTCATATGTTAAGTGACGAGAACCAGATAGTCTTTAATTGGTAACAAGAGGTTCCATGTTAGTCTTCAGGGGTGACATTTAACCAAAATTTATCTTCTTGATTAATTTAGGACAAAGCGTGGACGGAAATACGGACATCCGGGTGACGTATAATTCATACAAACATTATGTCTGTTTTCTTTCTGGATAATGGCTTACAGTAAATATTTTATACAATACAATATATATCTTTTACTGCCATAAAGTATGTTTTTGTCCATAAATTGTTTATTTAAAAACTAGAAATCTTTATAAATTACCAAACTTACCTAATTATACCACCGTTATCATATACCAGCAAACAAATCTAATAAACAAAATAAAGAAAAATATACAGGCCATAGCGACAACCTTTTTATATAGTTGTTGAAAAAATATTAAAGTGAGTCTAGTCTTAGTGGAGGAAACATAACAAATACGAGGGGATTTTATCTTTTTTTTTCAAATAGTCAGTCCAAGCTGCTGTTGTCTTTCTTGATTTTCTAGTTCGCTCGGTCGGGCTTATAATATCTATTTTATCGCATTTATAATAGACTGTTCTTCAAAACTTTGCGTTCTAGATATCGTCTTTAGTACGATGGTTAAAGCGTTCTGTCAAGACCAATTGGATTAGCATAAACTTTACATTTGGTATGAAAAAGATTTAACGCTAGTGTGTGAAGTAGATAATAAGTGTATATGACACCTTAAACTATAATACTTATTGGACTGAACCAAATCATACGGCTGATAGATAAATATTATAATTCGGTAATAGAACTACTAATATATTTTACTACATGCACACATGTGTGCACATAGTAAAATATATTATTCGTTATATATTTTACTTTGATATTTTGTGTGAGCGTGGTCTTTCTGTAGCCAAACCGACCTAATTGCAGTACTACCATATACAAACTACACCGTGGCACTACTGCGTAAAAACTAAACCTAAATTCTTTTGTCTGCAGTTGGTGGCAGCGGAGACATACTACCGAATATGCCGTACGTCGGCCGAGTACGAAATGTTTATGTCGATGCGAATTGGGCTGGTCAGTATCACAGTCTATGTGGTGAGTATCGTGACCGCCGCAGTGGGAGTCTACATGGGTCTCGACTATGACTACTGTCAAAGGCAGCACTTCGGCAACTTCTATTTTCGTGTAGCCACAACGGTTCTACTTCACGCCATGCCTTTCATAACGACTATGTTTGGTCTCATCTCTGCTTCAGTACAAGTCCGGCGTCGGGCGCGCCAACAAATCCAATACAAGCGATCTCAACAATACGAAAGAGACTACTCTACTACTACTTTGAACATCACGGCTTACATTTTGTTCGTCATTGCGTGGACACCCTACCTCGTCGTTGTTCACGAGTACCCTGGCACCAGCGACTCGAAATACTACAATTGCGTCTGGATTGGCATGTGCCGGTCTGTCATCACAAGCTTCCTATACGGCATATTGAACAGAAATTTCAGACGCGCTTTTGCACATCTTTTTAATTATTGTTGCTGCAAGAGTACTCTTTCAGGCCCGTTTACCAATCGCCACAGAAGGGCTTTGGAATACAAACCTGCAACCGGCGATGTAAGAGTCCACATAATGCACCAGGTTGTTCATCCTGGAACCCCACAAAGAGCTGCTTCATCTTCACGAGAGACCCAAGAGTTATGATTTACAACATTATAAGATACTCTAATATAAAAAAAAATACAAGCGCATTCGAAAGGCTTTTACAAAGATAACTATGCCTAGCCACCATTATATTATAAAATGTTCAAGTTAAAAAGAATACTGAGGATGATAAATGCCAGGAGCATTTAATTTGAGAAAAAAAAACCCTTTTGGAAAACGCTAAAAATATTTACGACCTTTACAGATATTTTTGACATTTAATTTTTTTTTGTATACCTTTTACCTATATTAGTGTTATAGTTCACGTTAACTGGAATTATTTTAAGGCATATTCTTATTTCCATATTCTATGGATAAAATATATAAAAAAAGATTTATTTTTATTTTATGTATATAACTTTCCTGTTATTGTTTCAGTATATAATTATGATTACTCCTATACAAGTAAAGTAATATAAGTGCGGTTTTTTTATTATTATTAAATGTGTTAAAATAAAATAAAAGCATTCTAGTCGTATCTACGTACGAGTATATAGTGTAGCTTGAATTCGATATCACAACTCTAAATATTAATAACATTTTAAGTATTTGCTGTTAAAGGTAAATAATGTCAAATCAAAAGTTTTCAACCGTTTCAGTGATAATACCTACATTCCGTAACGTTAAGGGTACCTTAACAAGTATATAGACTCAACATGAGACCAAAAATGAGGATGTTATAATTGTGTCAAATTTGCTTTAATGCTTTAAATTTGCTTTTAACTACGTGTATTTACTATCTATATGCTCTTGAAATCCATTGATTACAACTATACAATTATTTAGTAATTTCAAGAAAACCTTTAAAATAAAATTATTAGGTATTAAAGATCAAAACATAAACAAATTATGATTTCTTCGCCTTAGGTAAATTATAATGTTATGGGGATTTATATATTAATCATAAATTTTTCGTAAAAGTCAGATGAGATTTTTTTTTCATAAAATTGATTACAATAAAAATGGATAAAACTGCACAAATCTGTGTTTTAAGTAATATGCTGTTGATAAGTAAAACTTCTTGTAAAATTCCTTTGAAGGAATTTTACTTATTAAAGATATATTTCCTTTCCGTCAGGTGTGCCACAAACTCGTCCCCAATTAATAAAAAAGGAATAGTTTAAAGACGGATTCTTAAATCGCTACATTAGTGTACGTCTGGGTTATACAGTTCAATCGCTGCAGCGAATGAACACTAATCGATCAAGTCTAACACAATATGATTAACTGTGACGAAATTTTACTAACACGTGCGTCCAAATTAAGGAAATTGAGTAATATAGCTTTAAATTTACTATAGATTTTCATAACAATTTTGTAAATTGTGTTATAAGTACACAATTAAATACGAGTATTAAAACATTGATTAATGTACTACATATATTTAATTAATTTTTTAGTCTTATATTTAACCTAATATATTAAAAAATTAATATTATACCATAGTTTATTTAAAAGTTGTATTTATTATTATAACTTTAATTATTATGTAATTATTTAAAATAATATACATTTTTTTATAGATGATGGGTGACAAACGAGCACACAGTCTACCTGATGGTAAGTGTATGCTGTGGCCCATAGACATCTACACGTATCCTCAATTAAGAATCAAAATACAGATGCGTTGTCATCCCTAAAGACCGAGATAGAATGCCTCGTTTCCAGTAAAAACGGTCTCCGGTTAATTAAGCTGCTATTTTACGCTGGTATCCTGTGAGAGCGTGATCCTACCTCGGACGAGCCGACCCATTCATGCTGCAACCACAATATACGAGTAGCTGCAGCATGGCTCTACCACGTAAAGAATATAAAGAAATAAAATATTGGCAATTAACTTACTTTGTAACAACGTTACAACCTTCAATTTTTCAACAATAGAAATGTCTGAAAAAATATACTTTACTTTATTATAAACTAATGGTGAGGTTAAAAAAATTATATCAATAATACTATTAGTGAGATTTATTTACCTTAGATTAAAAATTTAAACAAAGGCGCAAATGGGTGGCATTTATTATAGACGTAATAAAAATATACCACCACCCTTCTTGTGCTAGTCCGTGTTAATTATTAGCCTAAGAAATACGGATATAATGTCCTAATATGTAGTCTTCTTTAAAAGTTATGTCTTAAACTAGACAAATAAAAGTGAGATAATTAAAGATGAAACTGAGATAGGGCAGTATACATAATATTTATTAAAACATATTAATGGTGTTCTATATTCTTGGAGTGTAATTTAACGTAAACACGCACAAAAAGGCGTTTCACAGGCAATCTCAAATATTATGTTGTATTATATTTTTAATGAGTCAAAAGTATCCGAATTCGGCATTTTTGAAACATTTTGAAATTCATAACTCTGAAAATATTAACTTTATCGTAACAAGTCACGGGACTTTTTTTATTCATATTTTATAAAAAATATAAAAATAACTGTCCCGTTTAAAAATAACAATTCCTTGCAATTGAACAAAGTCGGTTTCTACAATATGACACGGAGTTGCCCCATGGCAACATGCATTTATATCATCAGGAGGACAATTTGAAGAAAATCGAATGAAAAAATTGAGGTCGAATAGTTTTCGGTACTCGTTCCTTCTGGACTAGACCTAAGCCAATTCATAAAATATCAACTAGCCAAATAATATGTACTGTCTGTTATTAAGTGCATGCGATATATTTATTGAAGTGAAACATTTTCTGTTTGATATAATTTTATATTTATATAATTTATATTACTGTATACTTTATACAAACCAAGATAAATATATTTATTTTATAGAACAAGAGTTTTAAAAGAATCATTGCAGTATTGATTTTGGTAGTGTAATTTTTTATACCCTGAGAAATGTTTAAGGTTAATGTTATCGGTGTTAGAATAAAGAAATAGTTGTACTGTAGTAGGTTAAGTATCCTCTTTAAAGTTCTTAATTGTACCAATTACAGATATTGCTAGAACTTGGGTTTGGCTTTATATGTCATTAGTTATTAAATTTCTTGTATATTTTTTTAATTTATAAACCTATTTTTACCTATTTATTTTCCTCAACACAGAAGTTTTAGTGAGAAATTATATTTAGGTATTATTATATACTAGGATATAAGGTCTGTATTTAGTAACCTTAAAAAGCTTGGTGTCTATATATCTGTCTATTTTCACTTATAACAGGTAATATAAAAATATTCTAAGAATTTATTTAGGGCCGGTAGTGGCGGGTTTGTTTTTACTTGGCTTTTAATTTTCTATTTATTATTTTTAAATTATAATATACAATATCCCTACACGATTCGGAGGGGGCACGTAGGTATGTAGGTATGCACCGTAAAAATTTTAAAACAGATTGTAGGACGGTATCTTTGAACGTGTTACGTTATTACATGACGTCCGACCGTGCCGCAATTATTATAATGTAGGTTTCCCCTTTGGACTAAATTTTAGTTTATTTTTATGACGTATTTTTTTGTATTCTCTGAAAGGTACTACATGAACGTATCATATGATCGCGATACCTAAAAGCACTTTCACGGATCGGACAGTGATTTTGACCTGTGTACGTAATTCATTTATATGTAGTTTGTAAATATTTTATTTAAAAAGTATTAAACATACTTGAAAAACATTATTCTACATTCGTAATACTGGGTTTGCAGAAAAATACCTAATATTGTAATAAAACGTTTCATGTATTAAAAAATAATAAACATAAATCATAGCAGTTTCTGAACGAAAAACAGCAATAACACAACCCTCAAGAAAAACATAACCACTATATTATCAAACAACCAAAGACAAATCTCTCAAGGAACCTCTTGTTTACTTCTCTTCTCTGGCTCTTGCTACGTAAATTTAAGGGATATTATCGGCGAATGAGATAAACGTCTTTTAATTAATATAGAAATGAATTGAATGGATAACAAATTACTTGCAAATTTAATTGTTTTTACTTCGCTTGGAATATCGAAAATCTTTACGCAATGTTGTATTTATTAGTAAATTAATTGAAATCATCTGTCTTACTAATGCCACTTAATTTCATTGTTGAGTGTGAGTAATTTCGTTATTTATTAGAACATTTCTAGCATACTGCAATTAAATTTCCAATGTTATAATTGTTGTATACATAGTTTAACGTTTGCTGTTTGTTTCAGGAAACCTTTGTAGTATGATTAATGGATTATTTTCTAACATTTTATTACTTCTTTATTATCAATAATATGCAGTAACGTCGATTTAATACCAATTTAAAAATGTTCTATATAAATATTGGTCTATTTAGTGCAATCTATAAATATTGATTTTATATCTACGCTGCCCATGGGAATTGCTAAGTATGTAAATTATAAGTAATAGTTGGTATTTTACAGAAAATTACTTGAGAGATGATTAAATATCAACTTTGTATACATTTTTGAGGGCTTTTGTCCAATTTTGATTTAAAATTATGTAATATTTTAAAATGGGAATGCTTAAGAATTGATGTAATGAGGTTAGATCGAATTTATAACGCCTATTTCGTTCGTTGTCTATTTTTATATAAATATTCTTAATATATTGTAAGTATATATATCTTATTAAAGACTGGTTTTGGAGGTAAATGTATATAATTAGTGTTTTCAAAAATATTTGACCAGTATGATAAAGAATACGAGTACTATTACGAAGTCATGTTAAAATTACAACATCACATCAGGGGCTGCAATTTTCATATGTGGTATTGTAATGTGGTATTCTATTATAAAACAATCATTTCGAAGGGACTAGATTTTTATAAATTTGTGTTTATAACTACCTCCTTTCTGTAACAGGTAACTAGGCTACGTTATGAGTATATTACTTAACTTTTAATTACTATAATTTTTCCTAGATAATCCTACGAAACAATGTAAGACTATTTAAAAAATTGTAAATTTGTTTGAGGCAATCAAAGTTAAGTTAGCGCGGGTGCGTATTAACAGCTTGTGGATTGAAGTCTGCTGTGTTTGTTTTGCTGTTT